CATCGCCACGCTCGCTCGCGTTGTGAGCGGCACTCAAGTCTCGCACCTTCGAGGATTGGGAGGTAGGGCCCTCGAGGCGTCGAGGCACGTATTCGGCATTGTTGTTGGCTTGTCTCTCAGAGATTGAATAGATGATTGGCCCGGATACATGACTCTTATAATGAGCAGAATGTCCAACGGATGGAGTATATGCAATGCCACCAATGGATTTACTTTTGAGAGGCTCGAATGAAAGATGGGCCCTTGTATTTGTTTTCGGAGCACTGCCAAGATCCCTCGGACGTTCAATAGCACGATTTGGCTGAGAGCTCGAAATGGTCTTGCGCTCAACATTCGATGTATGTTTTTCCGATGACTCTGCCGTACAGCTAGAGTGCGCGTCCGAGACCGGATGGTAAGTAATGGCCTTCGTGTTCGCAAAGGCGTCTCTAGTTCTCGATACGTATTCGATCTCCGGACTCCGACTTTTGGCACTCGCAATGTAAGCAGATTGGATCTTTGAACGGGGGTACTCAATGGCCTCCATGTTCTGACTGCGGAGCCGAGTCGGGGCACGTTGAGAACGTGCGCGGGTAGTCTCGCTGGCATCAGGCTCAATAGATTCAACAGTGTGTATACGACGTGTGATGCTGCAAGGGCCATTTCGGCGGCTGGGCATCGACTCTGTGACACTGAAATTGCGGTGTCCGCCGGGCAGATATGAATCAGGAACTCTCGAGGCCGGAGGTTCAATTGTCTTGGGCGAGTGAGGAGCTTGTACGGAGCGGGCAAATGAGGCCTCTGCTTTGGCGTTGTCGTGCTCGGCCTTTGTCACGGCCCACGCAAGAGTAGCTCCCGCCGCGGCACCCAGAATGGTCCCCAAAACTGCCTGGCCTGGAAAACCGCTACTGTTGTTGGGAGGGGCGCTTGTAGAAGCTGAAGTTGATGGAACACTCTCCACTGAGCCCAATGTCCGCGACGACGCAGAAGGCCGCTCATACAGTGCCTGCGATTCCATCATTGTATCTGATGGTGTTGATGGTTTGCATACGAATTCAATGACATTACCGTCTGGATCCTCGACAGCAGCAGCAAAGACGGAGAAGTCTCCATTGCGTCTCCCGGGAGCCTGACTGGGGTAAGCGCCAGCGTTTAGCGCAGCGGTGTAGCACTTGCGCACGGAAGCACAGTCCCGCGCGTCAAATGCCACATGGGTGGGCGAGACAGCATGACTAGAATGAGTCAGGACGTGTGGGGGCGACGGGGGATTGTATCGATGGGCTCTACCTCTTTGGATCTTGGTGGAGGAAAAAGTCTGCTTTATCCACACCCAGCCCAACAGCTTGGCCACTTTGACCAATATAATGATAGCCCAATGGCTGGAGAGCGGCGAGATAGAATGATGTTGCAGTCGGAATATGCGAAACCACTATGCCAAGGTGAGAGAGAGGCATGATGCACTATGGTATGTAGCCTAAGATCGATGCGAGGAACAATGAGTGATATGAGCTCCACGACCGAGGAGGCAGGGAGCACGGGCACCAGGCACCGTACAGCGTGACCAATGGAAGGGTGAATTGCTAGCGTTGGGCAACATCACATCAATGCAGGACAAGTGGGGCGGCTGTCGGCTGGTTGTCGGTGTGCACGATCCAGGAGACATCGCCGCGCAGCAAGTTCAGTTCAGCTGCGGCGTGTGACTGTTTGGGCATGCTAAATGACAGGTGAGTGATACGCAAGGGCTCATGCTGTACCTACTTGTTCACGCGATAATGAAAGTTGTTTTGACCGTTGAGGTGTAGTCACTAGCGCGAAAGCACAGACTGCTGATTCACAGCTGACGCTTGCTCAGCGACTCCACCAGACGAGGCAGCACCTAGTCTCGGTGAAATCCCAGATTGCTAATGAATCATGCGACTCCCAGCTGGCTCCTGTCCACCATGTGCTGCTTTTCCCTTGCAGTGCTTGTAGCCGGGCATAAAACCCCTTTGCAATAGCGTCACGACACGGTCAATTTGAATGGGCTATGGTTTTTGAAAGCCACTAATCTGGGAATCGTTTTTGAGGCCAGGCCCAACACCTTGAGCACTTTGCAACTGTGTCCACCATGGCTTTCTGCACAGTCGCATCCGTCAGGTAATATGGACTGTCGTAAAACACCTTGTGCAGGCCTGGTATACCTGCCACACCGAATTCACGCACGCCTGGTAGACGAGGGATGCCGTAGGGATTCGAAGGGTCCACATTGTACGCAGACGTATTTGGTGGGATTCCCATATTTTCCATGATCGCGGTCCAGTAATAGCTGCTGTTAAATTGTCCAAAGATGGTCCGTTCTTCGTGGATGAAATCCATGAAATCGAGATTTTGTTGCTTAGGTGGCACTGTCATCAACAGTTTCGATGATTTGATCAATCTTCGTCCCCTCAGCGTGTCCACAAGCACATCCACTCTATTGTTGGTGCGGGTCATGCGTGCTACGCACGACCCAAACAGAACGCTGTTCCCCAATTCTTCCAGGGCTTTATCTTAGAGCTGCTGGTTGTCATGCGCTGCTGTGGTGGTGAAGCCGTTTGTGAGAATGGCAGTCACGGTGGCTGCTGAAAAGTATTTGAGTCGATAAATCGACAGCTGATCCAACGAGTTGCCACCACCTTGGCTATAAAGAAAATCTAGTGGTGCTATTGCATTCAGGTTAAACTTGGCAAAAAATTCTCCCCATGTCAGCAGCAAATCACTGGGCACTTGCAGGGGCAGATCGAATCCGCTGGACAGGTACGTAAAACGCGCAAGTTGCGCAAGATTTTCAACGAGGGCAGTGCTAATTGCTTCGTCTCCTGTTAATCCATTTGAGGGTACTAATGAGGCATTTGCAAAGAAGACGTTGACCGTGTTCCTGGCGGGCGCAGAAAATGGTGCCAGAGGCACGTCAAAGTGCGCCAGATAATCGCTCACAGCATCCGACTAATTCTTTGATAATAATACGCCGTAATCGACTGATCTGCCAGAAGAGTCTCGATAAGTTTCAACGTGGCCCCCAAGACGGTTCTGTTGTTCAATCAACGTTACGCTGTATCCCATCTGCTTCAATCGAATGGCTGAATAAGTCCCACTGGAACCTCCTACTGCACATGTCACCACGAATAGTCTGAAGGACATTTTGCTAGTCTCTTGACAGGTCCTTTCTTGTACGGAATACGGAACACGGCCAGGAAGTTTTAAACGCGGTTATTACAATCAATCGTTCCGCCACATGGGCCTCGTCCCATAACGGCAAGTGGGCTGAAATGTCTCGGAACAGCCTTCGTCAGGATCGTGAACGACCTCTGTTCCAGCAGAGTTAATTGGACGTTTCACTGACGCCGGGATGGTACATATCAGTTTGCCAGCACAACACTAGAACATGCTCATTTGAGCAACACATTAAGATATCCAACAGTATTGAAGGCCCTCCCAACTATGTTGGGAGGGAACGCTTGTGGGGAAGAGATGTCAAGAATGAAGATTGAAATGGTTCGTCTTCTGTCATCTTTCGGAGAGTACGATTAAAGTAGACATGACACCGGCTTAAGGCTCGGCGATTCCGACGTCGTCCATGCGCCAAATCGGTGACTGTCTCCTGAATCGCTTTAAGTTAAGCGATATGTACCACCATGCAGTCGCGGAAATGTCCCCGCTGTAATCCGCTAGAGGCCTGCATTGACCTGGTATCTAAAAACTTGTTAAATGATGTCCCACGCGTCTTCGGCGGCATGACAAAATTTGCTGCAAGCAACACTCGCGGAGAGGCTATAATTGCTAATGCTTATAGCATCTTTCTTGTATTGATCCGCAAAGGTGTCGGCGCCTTTGGCCATAGCTCCGACAAAGACGCAAATGCTCGTTTTGGGGCTCAGATCGGCAATGTATTCACGAACGCGCACCAGCGGAGCATCGAAGGAGAGTGTGACTTTGTGGCAATTCGGCGGTAGGTGGTCAGTGATGGGGTTCTTGATAACCTTTAGCAATTTTTCCGGGCTTGTTGTTGACCTGATACTGAGGTTATGGAGCAGCTGAACCATGAGACCGGCGAAGCGCTTAAAAGTTCTTGGCAGGCGCACCGTTGGGCTAACCTCTATAAGCACACCCTTTGACGTATGAATATAGATTTGCAGTTTGCCAGCCTTGTTGAGGGGCGAATCGAGAAGGGTTAGAAGGCATTGGTGCGTGATGTCGGGACGTGCCTCGCTAATATCACGATTCATCTTTCGCATGACTCCAATGTGCTCATCACTGTTGAGGAGCGAGTATTTGGATGTGTCCTTGCCATTTTTGCTTAAGCCGCCGTGTGCTCTATACGTCTCCAAGCTAGCATTTGAAAGCACCACAATGAGGCGCTTGGTATCTTTGTCGCTCGCGGGAATCGGACGTGCTTGCTCTGCAGTCATTTGCGGAAGTATTGGCGGTGGAAGAGATTGGGTTACAGTTCCTATGTTTCCACCAATCCATGATTAGTCATGAGCTCTTGTTGAAAGAGCGAACGTTCGAAATGGATCTGTTGAAGAATGAAAAACTGGAAATGAGACTGACTTGTTCTTTTTGTGGCTCTGCCACTCAGCGAAGGTCTCCGGTCAATGTAACTTGCCCCCTGAGCGTCAAGCTGCGATCGCTCCGGTTTATCTACAGCCATTGCAAAGTGGTGAGAGAGTGTTGTTTTGGTCCTAGCCCGGCCTTTTCGATGCAGCAATCAAGAAGGGTGGTCGTCTTTGTAGGATTGAAAATTTGGGGTTGACCTTGACTCCTTGGCGCGCACGGCCGCTAGCGGCCGTTTGTCGGGAACCTCGACGCGCGTGCATGCAGAAGAATGTTGACATCAATCAACGTAGACTATCTCGTAGACTATGTAAACGATAGAAAATTCCTGAAGAGATACTAAGCCGAGGCATACTATGCTTTCCAATTTGCTTCGCAGCGAGCATCGCACTTTTTGAATCTATGTCATATGGTCATATTACAATGTCTGACCTATTGCATTGTCAAATGTCGAGGTGTCGGAGTGGTTAACGAGTCAGACTTGAAATCTGATGCCTTCGGGCGCGCAGGTTCGAATCCTGTCCTCGACGCTTTTTTTTGCGTTCTCACGAGTTTGCACAAAATTTGTTTCTCTCTCCGTATGTCGCAGGTGAAATACGGAGAAAGCGGTTTGCGTCAATTGACGAAGGTCAGTAATCGCCAAATTTTCCGCTCAACACAATTGGCGAACAAACGCTACAGGCTGCAGTCTTGGTTTCGAACAAACTCGCGGTGGACGTTAAGTCCAATCACATACTCTATCAACTGAGCGATGTTTGGGTGGTAGTGGTGAGACGCATTTGAGAATTGATGGCCAACGATTGGACTTTAGTCTCTAGCTCCTATCAAAGTGCCTCAAACGCATCCGGAATGGATGAGAGTGATTCTCGTCCGGCATGGCTTGAGGAGGGCCGGGCGCAGTCTGATCCGCTGTTAGCAGTGCGTAGTCACATTCAGATTGAGAGTCCAGCGCGACCTCGCCTGTTCCAACGGCACACGATGCGGGCAGACGCAACCAGAAGCCTGAGTGAGGCTCTGCGTCAGGCCAAGAGGCGAGAAGAGCAAGAAACCCTTCTGGGGGAAGGTGAAGGAGCTGACGACGATGGCTGCTATCCTCCGCGCACGAGCAATGCACCGCGGGCACCGAACCCCCATAGAGACCTCCCGATTTATCTCACAATCCATAAGATTCGGAGGCTAGTATTGGCGAGCATTGGTAGGCATCATCTCTACATCAGCGACCTGGACTGAGAGCCATGTTTTATAGACGATCCTTACTCATTGGAGCAGCTTAAGGGCCCCAGGCTGAATGGAGCTTTAATCCGTCCATTGGTAGACCATCTTTACGATCCCGACGATGTCTCCGTGGTCTACTGTCTACTGGTTAACCGCGTACAGTTCTTGCGAGAGCAATCTTATCAGGCTCATCATCAAACAGTCAACGTAACGCGGGCAAACCTCTGTGAACTACTCGCCTCTCGTGTACTTCGTTGCTTTGCCGAATGTCATGAAGGCCGAGCTGGACTGCTATCTCTTGCGAATGTCCTTGTAGCCGGTTTTGAGGCCTTCCAGGGCGCCCCCGCTGACATTGTACTCGCCAACAGGTCGACGATTCAGTGGAAAAAGTCGGACGCCGAATATCACAATATGCTTACCGCCCTCGAAGTGGCCATTGTCTCCGAAGCAAAGATATTTCTGAGCACATCAGCTTGTCAAAAAATTGTGGACAATGTCTACCGTGGCCGTATTATTTATACGCCCACAACATTCCTGGACATACTGCCCGACCGGTACAAGACGCGGGTTATATCACTGTATGACCCACGAAGAGCGCCATTGCTGAATCAATACAGGCTGATTGTTCCCCGGACAAGGAACGTCATTGAAGCCTGCCAGTTTATCGTACTTGTGATCCTGTACGTGCTCATGATGACGAACAAATCTCGTGTAACGGGGCCCTACCATCTGACTGCTTACGAGCTAATCTTTGATATGTACGCCATGGGCTGGGTATTGGATGAACTTTGCTCCGTCTTGGAGCATGGATGGACAGTGCATACACAGAATCTGTGGTCGTTCCTCGACATAGCATTTGTCATCATCTACTGCGTCTATTTTGGCATCCGAATGCACGGCATCTACACAAGAAACCCCCGAACAAGCAAGATGGCCGTGGATGTCATGAGCATGGCCGCACCCGTGCTGGGACCACGACTGGCCTTTTGCCTAATGCCGGAAAACATGCTGTTCATAGCGCTCCGCGCGATGATGGCAGACTTCATGTTTCTTACAATGTTGGCCGTATGGTGCTTCGGTGGCTTCTTATTAGCCATGCTTTGGCTGAGCGAGAGTCAAAATGGGGCCGTCACGCACAGTGCTGCCACAATTTCCCGATGGATGCTCTGGATCTGGTTTGGGCTAGATGGAACGGGAGTGGAAAGAGCGGGCGAATTTCATCGCCAGCTCGGTCCTGTCCTCATGATCACGTTTGCATTCCTGGGCAATACCCTTTTTCTGACCATCCTCGTGGCCATGCTCAGCAACACATACAACAATCTGGCACAAAATGCAACGGCGGAGATTCGGTTTCGTCGGGCTGTGCTCACCTTTGAAGGCGTCAAGTCCGACGCCTTGTTCTCTTACGGCCCACCCTTCAACGTGCTCGCTCTAATCATATTGTTCCCGCTCAAACAGGTGCTCACACCACGTTGGTTCCACAAAGTAAATATCACGGCTGTTCGCGTACTGAATGCACCACTGCTGTTAGTAATCAGCCTCTACGAGCGGCGCTACCTGTGGAACCGGCCACGTCTACTATCGACTGCCAAAAGACATCCGTGGCTGAGTATTTGGGAAAGGTTCCGCGCACATCGAGATATACAAGACGTGTTCAAAGTGGACCCGCCACAGGAAATTATCGACGACATGGATGAGCTGACTGACATCTTGGATGCAACAGCTACCGACGGCGTCAGTGCGCTGATACGTAGAAGATGGAGCAGGGTCAGGAGTATAACGACGACAGAAGCAGAGTGACTCCCGCAAGAATGACGTGAGCAGGAAGGCGTCGCAGCGGGTAGCTGTAGTGGGTGCATATACTATATAGTGGACAGAAAAGTGCATCCGTGCTAGGTACATGTGGTCTACTCAGCAGTATGCAGGTCAAGGAAACCTCAGGGAGGCGGTGTAAGAGCGCGGCTGGCGACAACCCCGGATAGTTTTGGTTCGGTGGCGACTGCCTCACAGCGGGGCCATCCTCGACGATAGAACAATGCGCACATGGCTAGCAAGGCCGCCGCATTGCTGCCGTTGATCTGTCTCAGAGCGGCTCGGCCAAGATGTTGCACCCATGCCAGCCAGGCACGAGACTACATCCAGCCGCCGAACGATGTGCCCCAGTGGCCGTCGCCATTGCCGGGGAACGAAGCACCCACTCCATACCAGATATTCGCAATGGGCCGTAATGAGCACTACACCAAGACGCGCTTCCTTCAGTTGGCCAAAATATACCACCCTGACATCAGCCACCATTCGGGGCTGTCCCGCCAGGTGCGACTGGAGCGTTATCGCCTCGTCGTCGCCGCCCATCATATATTATCAGACCCCGTCAAACGGAGCACTTATGACCGCCTAGGAGCGGGGTGGGAACGAGCAATTGAGGTTTCTGAACGTCGGAGCAAGCGCCAAGATCCCATCTGGCAGAATGCCACGTGGGAAGACTGGGAACGCTTTTATCAAAACTGCAACGACGAATGCACAAAGAAGAAATGCACTGCTCCCGTATACATGCCCAACTCACACTTCGCCGTTCTGGTCATTTGCTTGGCCATTTTGGGTAGCACGGCAAACTCTTGGCGCGCGCAGGAATCTGGGTCGCGTATTGTCGAAAAGCGGGATAATGTCCACGATCAAGCTGCGCGCGAGTTGCGGAGGCTTAGACATCAGGCTTCCGGTCTGAGCGACCGTGATGAGCGCATCCAGTGGTTCTTGCGAAGCAGGGAGGCTGCTTCGGGCAAGCTACCCCCCACAGAAGTTGATGCCTGGAGAGATGAAAGTATCAAAAGACTGCTTCCTTTGAACGACACCTGCCGTAGTGGTGAACTCCGGGCAAGTGGCTCAGTAGACTGATCAAATTTACGTATATCATATACTAAATGTGTAGTGACTTCGCAGTTTCCTTACTTCTGGCGCCACACTTCAAAATTCCCTGTGTGCACCCCGAATTTCCTCCATACGCTTCTTCAAAGGGAACTAGGATGCCGTTCAGTGTTGAGTCTGGACTAGTCTACAAGGAACAAATTGTTCCCGCGCCGAAGAAGTCGCGAACAGAGAAGCGCCTTCAACTCACACGCGATCCCCCAGAGCTGGGAACACCGTTACTGCAAAACCTATTGCTGTGGAAGTTGCTCGCAAATCTAGACGCACTTGATCTAGATTTGCTCAGCGCGCTACCGACGTTGATCGTTGAAAGACTATGGAATGAAATTAGAATCAGGAAGCTGGAGGACGTAACAATTTGGCAAAAGTTTGCAGCCTCTATCGGTAACCGAGTCTTTGAGCACAGTTGAAGTTATGGTCCTAAGGATTTACTTTTGTGCATCGAAACCTCTGTCGAATGTCCCGCTACATGTTTGACCGATCTCACGATTGGCCCTGGAATGTTCGCCCCGGAAGAATTGGCAAACATTGTCCAGATGCACAATCTTCGTAACTTGTGTATCTGGGACAATCGAGCCGTGACGGATAGAACATTTCGCTCATGGGCGGAATCTGCTTGTCTGGAGGGATCACTGAGGCAATTGCAAACAATCTTGGTTGTGGGCTATTCGAACCTCACAAAAGCCACTGTCTACCAACTAGGCAACTTTCCATTCTTAGACACTTTCTGCACGATTGCACATGAACCAGACATCTTTGGTTTAACTAAAGACGAAGCTATCAGATAGGGTTGGCGCAAGTCTAAAGAGTGGGTACATGTTGTTCAATCATGAAATGGACTGGCAACTGTGCGGTACGAAATTCATAGAGCTTTTTAAAGAGAAAGCTGAGCCAGTTGCTGGATGGTTCTCTTACAGGCGGAATTCAGTTTCCCGGGAAGTAGAAGATCGGCCTGTTCTGCACCTGCATGTTGGCGAGAATACCCGCTCCTCAGACATAGCAAGGGACGTGAGAGGTGCTATTTTTCTAGAACGTGCCCATGAAGGCTGTAAGCGCCCCCTTATGACGGGAAGAGGGAAACAAAAATCGGACCAAAAGATCTCGCAAAGAGCTGAATCCGTGGGCTGATTTCGGTATTTAGAAACCCGGTCACATAGGTTTCCATCCTGTCAATGGGGATTGCGTGGGCATGCATCGGATGAAGTCCACCACAATTCCGATTCGAAGCTAATTTGTGCTATTGTGATCAAGTTTCAATCAGATTGGACAAACAAGACTCCATTATTTTCCATTGCACTGAGAACTGTAGTTTCTCGTTAACGATGGTCGATTTTACCGCATACCACAAGCCTTCGAGCATCAGTCTTTTCCGACTAACCTCTTCACATGTATA